TTTTCACCTCATCCACCCCTCTTCTCTTCCTCTTTTTCCAACTGAATCCTTTTTCCCAAGTCCCATTTTAGTTTCAATTCTTCTTTTTGTGTGTGGCCCAGTGAGTTTCATTGTGATTTATTACCTGTGCATGGTTGGAGTTTAGTTTATAATTGGGTTTTGGGAGTGGGATTTTGGCTTAGGGTTTACTTTTGTCTTACAATGTGCTTGATTTCATTACTGTTATATTGCTGTGAAGAGACACCATAACCAAAGCAACTTATAATAGGAATCTATTTAATTGGAGGCTTCTTTATAGTTTCAGAGGTTTAGTATATGACCTTGATGGTGGGGAGCATATTGCAGCAGGCAGGCTTGGCCCTGGAGCAGTGGTTGAGTCCATATGTCTCATCCATAAGCAAGCAGCAGAGAGTTCTAGCTGGAAATGATGTGGGATTTTGAAACCTCAAAGCCCACTCCCAGTAACACACCTTCTTCAACAAGGCCGTCCTTCCATTAACAAGGCAATACTTCCTAATTCTTTCTAAACTGTACACCAACTAGGAATAAAACATTCAAATATCTGAGCCTATGGGGGCCAGGAAGGTTGTTTTATTTTTACTTCTGCCTTTTAATTATTTTCCTTGTTGTAGATTTTTTTAGGAGATGTTTGAATATACATCTTCACATATAGGTACTGGTAAATAATTCCACTGAAATAGTTTCAAGAAAATGGTTGTATCATCCTGTACTTTCATGAATCCAAAATGTTTTGATTCCTGACCTTTTCTCTAAATGTGTGTGCACACATACAGTTTTCTATTACCATAAGAAACAAGTACTCAGCAGTCTTACTTGGAAAGTACATTTACCCACTGAGTCATTTACTGGCCCCCACATCAGTCATCTTTGAAATATGTTTATGTTTATATAACTCTCTCCATGTAAATATCAGTACCATGGCATATGGTCTTCATTGTTTATATTAGACTATATTAGAAATAGACAAATATATTTAATAAAATGAATAAATATAAATATAAATAGACAAAGTGTTTAGTTATTAAGAAATAAGTAATTAAAACTAAGACTGATAATTCTATAAAAGTATATACACTTCATGGGATTTGCATTTGTGATATTCTGGATATACACTCATTTAGATTACTCCTACATTACATTAGAAAAGGATTTATAGGCATAAAATTGTAACAGAAATAATTCTTACTATACTGATTGTTTGAGAGCCAAAGTAAAAATACCAATAAAAAGAAGATGATACAAGGATCAAACACCTTACATGTTCTCACCAAAACTCTGTATGCAAAATATAAGGATATTCACATTGTACAGAGTTGTTATTTTTGAAAAACATATTCAACCTAACTAAATCTGCTTCATACAACAATGGTCTATTACAAACACAGAGCTCATACAGAAAACAGGGAAGATAATATATCCCTTAGTCAACTGTACAAGTTTTCGTTGGGATTTTGGATAAAAAATGTTTAAACAAATTGTTTCAGTTATCTCATTTCTAAAATTATCAGCACTATTTGATGATTTCTGACAAGTAAATAAGAGATTGCATGATTAATACTTACCTCAGAAATGGGATTTAAGAAATATTAAGTATTAAATACAGTACTTGGCCTGAGAACATTTCCTGTATGAAGGCAACTAATAATTGAAATTATTTAAAAATTTTGTGTTAAAATATTTTTAAATGGATTCATTTTCTCACATCATTCTTAATGGTCTTAAAGGTGTTAGTATAATTACCTAAAACAATAGGGTTTTAATTATCATCAATTTTACAACAAGGGTTTTATTTTGCAGTATAGTAAATAACTTCTTAGATGTTGTAAAAAGTGCCTGCACTGTTAAAAATTGCCCTAAAGGCTGTGTCACCATTCCACCAATATCTCCATTTTGTTCAATTGGTGGGATTATTTTTTCAAAGATTTGTCTTAAAATAATGCATTTGGAAGGAGGTGAAAATCTGCTCGCTTAGATAGGCAGAGAAAGTAACCAGCTAACTTTCCTTCTCAGCTCAGGTATGAATGGAAAATAAGTAAATAGATAAATAAACCCAAAAGACTCACTAGCTCAGCTGACAGCCTGTAGCAAATGGGAGAAAAGGAAAAAATTGGGGAGGGAACATGCAGGGCCAAAGGTTTGCTAACTCAAAGCCCTAAAATCCAGGGAGCTGAGAAGCTGAAGCCTAAATTTAAGCAAGAGTTTGAGCTAATCCCTTTCTTCTCCATGCTGTCTTATATATCTCTCAACTCAAAGTCCCACCTACTAGGGTTAACTTTATTAAATCCTCTTTAAAAAAAGCTCTTGGATGAAGGGTGTTTTCCAGGGCTGGGTGAACCATATCATAATCACCTGTTTACAATAAACAGAAAGTTCTTGGATTAAAGATTTGTGTTATTGCTCAAGCAAACCAAACAATAAACAAAGTTTTCCAGTTCAAAATTTTTGGGTTCACAATGGGATCAAATATTCTGCAACATTTCTTTGACATCAGTAAACTATATACAATGAGGTAAAAATTACATTTATAATGCCTAGTCCAAATGTAATAGCAACCTGTATCATTCCTTTTTATTTAAAAAAAGGGGGGTAGATAAATAATATAGGTACAATGGGATAAAAGGGTGGATTATTGAATCTACTCTTATACATCTTTGTCTATTGATACAAAATTATGGTTATATTTTGTTTAGAGCATACTCTATCAAATCGTTTTAAGGTATTTTACCTAGGTAATTCTTAACAATGCAATGTGAAGTTCTAATCCTTTTAAAAGCTACTATCATAAACCATTTAGAATAATTAAGAAATGCATATTAATAGTGAATCAAATTTGTGGTTTTGTTAGGTACTAGTTCAGTTAAACTAAAGTGAACATATTAATCAGTCAGTATATAGCTGGAAACAAGTAATTCAGATATACTAGAGAGATAAATGGTCTTCAAAAAACTCAGAAATCTATAGAATATAGCATTTAAAGATATTTTCTTAATTTGAGAATTTTTTTTTTGTCAATGAGTAGCATCACCCCTTTTTGACTTTGTAGAAGATGATGAGCATCAAAAAAAATTTCTCATTTAGGAGATGGCACTATATGTGACAAGCTAGCTAGTGGGCAAGGAATGGTTTTATTTCTACTGCAGACAGAATGATGGAGAAACCTGATACAGAAAAGTGGTTTGCTGAGCTTTGCAAGGACAAGGTAGGCAAGTCTGTCATAATACCTGCTTCAAAGAAAGGTCTGTAAGGTACTCTGAGCCAGAAGGCTGAAGATAATGCTCCAACATTATAATGATATCTTTGGTGACTGTCCAGGCAGCCAGCAGTCTCTGTCATTTCTATAATTTTGGAAGTTGCTCCCTCTGCACTTACTGTTTTATTCAGCTATTATTAATGCTCAGTTCTCTGATGAGGTTGAAGAGTAAACAGTTATAATCTTACAATTAAGTTCTTTAGAATTTAAGAAGATGTTTTAGGTCTAAAGGGATGGTTTTGGATTGGAGTTGCAAGTTTTGATACAAAGTGATTTAGGTACAGAACTTTGGACTCACCAAGATAGGATAGAAAGTAGAATACTTTCTTCAATAAGTTATATTTCTACTGGTGTCTTCCAGGGCCCTCACTTACATGGAACATATCCAGTTCCCTTGAGTTTGGATTTAACAAGCTTCATATGTAGCATGATTTTTATTTAGGTGGTCTTTTAGTAAACCTCAAACTTTTCTAGTTAATCCGACAATAAAGTATTTCAGACGTTTTTCTGGCTTCTGACTCTGAGAGTTATGATAACTAGGTGGCAGGATACACCACTTTTTTAATTTAAATTAAGTAATATTTTGGTCTTCTTGGGGATGAAAAAGTATTATTGCCAGTAACCTGAGGGCACCAAAAAATATGAACGGTTGGTATATTAAAAACAAACAAACAAACAAACAAACAAACAAACAAAAACATTTCTTTTATCTTTTTCTCCCTACTCCACCACAATCCTTTTCAACACCCCAACATGAGGTCAAAGAAAGAAAGGGATAGTGGGAGAGGGTCACAGTTCTCTTTCTTGTCTGCTTTCTGCTGGTTAGGTTGTTGGGCTCCTTGGAGTCTGTCTGGTACTCATTTCAGGAAATCTCTAACTTCTTGTCTCACAACAGCAACCAAGAAAGAAGCAAGAAAGAAGCAGGAGCAGCCTTGTTCTTTCTCACCTGTCTAGCTCTCTGGGCACTGACATTTATTCTCTCTCTAGAGTCCTCAGATTTAAACTATCTGCAGCTGACAAAGAACTCCTCTCAGAGCCTGCTCGAAGCAAATAGTGTGCTGCTGTGGACCATCTGAATCAGTCTCACATCCCACACCTGGAACCAAAACAAAAACATGTTTATATGTTGAACATATTTTGATTTTTAATCAGTTTTTATTTTTTTAACATTTATTCATTATGTATCCAGATTAAAGTCTCCTCAAATACACAACAAACAGGTCTTACCCTTTCTTCTATAAATTGCTGCAAATGTTCATAAAATGTATCAAGTGTTGGCAAAAATTCATGAGTTTTTGATTATTTTATCACTATAGATAACCTTAGCCCTCAGTTTAAGAATTATCAAATTCAAAGCTTTTTCAGGAGACACTTCTTACCTTAAAGTAAAATGGATATTCGAATACAGTTCATGAAATTTAGTCGAAAGATAGTAAAGCATTTACAACTTAACCAATGGTGTAAAATTTAAAAAAGAACATGTAGCATTTGCCTTTCTGGGCCTGATTACCTCATTCAGTATAATATTTTCCAATTCCACCAACTTACATGCAAATTTCATGATTTCATGTATCTTTCCATTATGTATATGTACCACATTTTTATTATCCTTTTATTAGTAGAAGGACATTTCAGTTGTTTCCATTCTGGCTATTGTGAGTAGAGCAGTAATGAACATGGCTGAGCAAGCATGTTATAACATTTTAAAATCTTTTTATGTGTTTTACAGGAATTGTCATTCCTCCCAAAGGAAACTTGGATATCTCTGTTTTATTTATACCTTCTGCTATGACGTTATACAAAACAATGATGATTGTTAAAGTGAAGAGAGCAAACAAAAAAATGTGGCTGATTGACAATTTTGAAGAACTAAGTGCAGAGAATAAGAGGTAAGAATTGTGACATAGAAAGAAAATATTTTGTGTTTTGACTGAACTTGATGTGATAGGTGTCTAGAATGTATGATAACATAAAGCTCAATATGATCTGTACTACTGCAGCTCTTATGTCCAGAAAAAGAAAATGTTTTTTGTAGTTCAGAGTAGTCAACAACATCAGTATTACGTTTAACCATTCAGATGCGTACAAAGGGAAAATAGTAAGTGACTGCCAATTCAAGAAATAATAACTTGAGGGCAACCTGCATCAGCAGCTTGTCTGAACAAAATGGAGAACTTGTAAAGCTGGCATGCAACAAGTGATTAAACACTGCTCTAACCAAGGTGTATCATTTCAATGCCATTTCCAGAATGAAGGTAACTTTCATTCTTTGCTTAGCTGCAAATGAAGCATACTTCAATAAGCATACAAATCTTAAATGTTTCCTCTGCTTTAATAGTTTAGTTAGTCTAGAAACCTTAATTAAAATCAAAACCTTAATTTATCATACATTTGCATATTTCTTCTCCACATGGTTTTTACTGTGGTTCAATTATTATCTATTCTGCCAGGCATTCATCATGTCCAGAGTCACAGTTAATTACATGTACACATGTATGGAGCATTTCAGTGAGAAATTACAATGAAAGTAATCTTGTTAAAATGTAATAAGAACTGTAGAAGAGTTGTGCTTAAAGGCACAGAGCCCTTTTGGCTATGGTGTCATAGGAGCCAGATACACAAGTCACATGCAAAGATGGTCTTCTGTGCAGTGTTTCATATTTTATTTTATAAGAAAATTCCACCTTCAGAAATGACCAAACTTTTCTAAATTTATTTTCTAATAGTAGATGAGATGTATGCTTTCATTTTTTTTGTATGTAAGCCTATTTATTGAAAAATATTCTGTAACATTTTGCTTCCAAGTATTTCATTATTCCTATCTCCTTGACTTTTTTTTTTTAATTTTTATTTTTCTTATTAGTTACAATTTGTTAACTCTGTGTCCCAGCTGTATCCCGCTCCCTCATTCCCTCCTCCTCCCCAACTCCCTCCCTGGTCTCCTCCCTGCCCCTTTCCAAGTCCACTGATAGGGGAGGACCTCCTCCCCTTTAATTTGACCCTGTTTTATCAGGTATCTTCAAGGCTAGCTGCAAAGTCCTCCTCTGTGGCCTAACAGGACTGTTCCTCCCCTGGGGGGGGGGGAGGTCAAAGAGTCTGCCCTTGAGATCCTGTTAGAAATAGTCCTTGTTCCCCTTACTTTGGAAAACTACTTGGTTACTGAGCTACCACGGGCCACATCCGAGCAGAAGTTCTAGGTTATATCCATAGATGGTCCTTGGTTGAGTGTCAGTCTCAGAAAATACCCTGTTCCCGGATATATTTGGTACTTGTAGAGCTCCTATCCTTTCCATATCATACTAACTCCCCTTCTTTCATATGATTCCCTGCACTCTGCCAAGGTTTGATCTTAGTGTCTGCTTTGAAACACTGCTAGGTAGAGTCTTTCAGGTGCCTTTTGCGGTAGACTCCTGTCATACATTCAATGCTCATCCCATTTGTCTTTCTAAATAAGGATTGATCATCTTCACCCATGTCCACTTTCTTGATTATCTTCTTTAGGTGTGTAGATTTCATTATGTTTATCATATCTTGTAGGTCTATATAAGCGAGTATATACCAAGTTTGTCTTTCTTCTTCTGGGATACTTCACTCAGAATGATCTTTTCTAGATCCCACCATTTGCCTGCAAATTTCATTATTTCCTTCCTTTTGATTGCTGAGTAGAATTCCATTGTGTAAAAATACCACAATTTCTGTATTGATTCCTCTGTTAATGGACATCTGGGTTGTTTCCAAGTTCTGGCTATTACAAATAAGTATGCTCTCATTTTAACTAGTATCACCTTAAAATAAAAGTTTACATGCTTTTCTGTAATTAATAGGGTTTTGGATGTTGTGATTTCCACTGTATAATTTAGGCTATCAGCTACATGAACTGTCTTAACTCCCAGTCACCATTTAGTTATAGAAATAAATACAAATGTACTTTTGGAAGGTAATGAGTAAAACTCCTACATTTTAACTTACACCTCATAATAATTTACTTTAGAATAATTTTCTATGACCACATCTTTATAACATCAACTGATTAAGAAAATGTTTTCTATTCTGTAAGTCTGTCTGCCTAAATATAATTGCATAAGCTTTACTAAAACAACTTTAGAACAACAAAGAATACAACATTTTTCTTAGTTATTTTATTTTTAAGATTATAAAATAATGTTATCATTTTCTTTTCTCACTCAAAACATTCCCATATACCCAACTTGCTCTTTCATATCCATGGCCTCTTTTTTTCACTAATTGCTATTACATCCCTATATTATAGATACAGATATATGATTATTATTTCCTTGATCTATATTGACAGTATTTCTGTCCTGCATTAACTTTATGTATTTTAATTTCTGAATAGATTTGTTGGAGTGGACCATGGGGAAACTCATGCAATATATTGGATGTACCCTATCATTGGACTTCCACAGGCACCGCCCCCTAAAAATTCTCCAGGTAAGTATATTTTACTCAGGAGAAAAAAAGCTCTGAATTCCGAGAGACCTTAGCCAGCCTACAATTCCATCTCTTTATGCAAATACAAACAGATATGCTACAAGTGAGAAAACCGCAAAAATTCTTTCTTTCTTACGAGTAGGTGTAGTAAATCATGTCTTGGGTACCTACCATAAGAAATTCTGAAGGAGTTTTCAAAGATTTGGTATTTCCTTCTTTAATTCTCCATATCGACTGTTGCAAATGAAAGAATAAGACTTCTGGGGTAAAGCTATAACTCACAGTAGAGTGCTACCTTGGCATGTGAAACAGGCCTGGGTTCAATATTCAGCAACAAAACAAAATAAAACAATAAAGAGATAAAAGGTGATTGGTCTCTACTGAACTTAGGTTACATCATCACAGGTTGAAATAGGAAGAAGTGGTAAATATTTCTTGTACCAGAGCACTTCCCTAAACATATTTGCACTGGTTATAAAAAATGGCCAAATTTAAATACTTTCTTGTTTTAATTGGAAATAAAATCCACATATACAGTAGTGATATATATATGCATATATATATGCATATGTATATATATATATTTACAAGTCAATGTAGCTTGTAGTTTTTCTCTTCAATTCATTAACACTGACATAAGTCACTTTGTATATATTATCTTAAACATGTTTTAGAGATGTCTTTTATGTTAATTTGGTCTTTTCCATAGTGCTACACTTCTTAAAATGTATAATACACTATTAAGAGCTCAGCACCCTATACTAACTAAATATTTAACTTTTGTTGCTGCTTTGTTCTACCTATTATCTGCTATTGACAGTTTTTGTTTTCCCATATTAAATATATTAAGCAGAAATATTGTTCTTTTAAAAAGCCTATGAGTACTTCTTCATATATCTCCTTCAAAGAAATGCAAACATATCCTATACATTTACTCTGTGATTTAGTATTTTTTGTAATGATTTTTAAAATTTTTTTTCTTTATTATTATTATTTGTTATAATTTATTCACTTTGTATCCCAGCTGTAACCCCCTCCCTCATTTCCTCCCAGCCCCACGCTACTTTTCTCTCCCCCCACCCCATTTCCCAAGTAAGTTATTAGAATTTGCAACAAAATATTCATTAGCAGATACCAAGAAACAGAGGAGAGGCAGACTGACCAATGAAGAAAAAAATAACGTTGTTTACTGGCATTAGTGGAATTATTGGAATGTGGAAAGCTTTCTCCCTGGGCCAGGACAAAGGCAGTAGAATGGAGATGAGTATGCTGTTTGCTACCAGGGAGACCAGTGGAAATTACAGTGTCCCAAGTGTAAAAGAATCCTTATTCTGCTACCAGAAAGGAGAGTGAGACTGTGTGATCAAGGGTAGTCACAATCCTCATGTAGCTAAAACATCTATAATAAGCACAAATGACTATATTCTACCATTAAAATTATAAAGTTAGATAAAGTTCAACAGCGAAAATAATCTGGAGTTGCCTTCTCAAGAGAGGTGGTATCTGGTTCCTGCTCCTTCTGGTGGAAATAGATATCCTGGGTATTGTTCCTTGAAGGCCCATCCTCCCCTGTACTGAGACATCCATCTAAATTGTGCTACAAACTTCCATCCTTTTAAAATGGTTTTTAAAGTGTTATAGGCTCCTAGGCGGTCTTCTGAAGAAGAAACACTATCAAGAGACTTGCCAAGGTCCAGACACAACCTATAATGGGACCGCTGCTACAATAGTGGCATGATAGTTATGGAAGTAACCAAATGTTACTTGCTAAGATTTAATGTCTGTCCATAGGATGGAATTCATCTTGGGACTGTAGATTAGTCAAATGACCACTGCTTTTGGAGTCATTACCCTACAGGAGCCCATTACTATCCTTTTGGTAAATAGTTCCCTGATACTGGATTTTTAAAAATCAGTTATGTATTTTACAAGTAATATAAGTCAGACTAAGACAAAATAGTAATAAATAAGTATTCTGAAGCAATTTAGATATTTGGTATGAAAATATTTTCCAGAGGTCCAAAATTGTGCTGGTAGTTATTTTTGTAGGAATCCTTTTCAGAAGCAAGTGGTTAAAATTTTATTTATGTACATTATTGTTTTTGGACAGTCTATTTATTTTCTTAAGAAAACACCAGAGATAGCTCAGTGATGTCTCTGTTCAACTACACCACTGTCTTGTTATTCTTTTTTTCTGTAACACCCAGATTATTTGCACATCCAATACAATTTTGCTTATCTATGATCTACCAATTCACTTTGTGACTTACAGGCTTACTGTCTATTCAGACAGATAAGAATGAAATATTTACATTATCTGTTATACAAAATAAGAAATGAATCCACTGTAATGGATCTAACATTAATTTCTTTTTTTTAAACTTTTATTAGTTACACTTTATTCAATTTGTATACCCCCATAAACCCTTCCCTCCTCTCCTCCTAATCTGCCCTTCCCTCCCCCTTCTTCATGCATGCCTCTCCCCAAGTCCACTGATATGAGAGGTCCCCCTCTCCTTCCTTCTGATCTTAGTCTATCAAGTCTCATCAGGAGTGGCTGCATTGTCATCTTCTGTGGCCTGGTAAGGCTGCTCCCCTCTCAGGGGGAGGTGATTAAAGAGCACACCAATCAGTTTATGTCAGAGGCAGTCCCTCTTCCCATTACTATGGAACCAACTTAGACATTGAACTGCCATGGGCTATATCTGTGATGGGATTCTAGGTTATCTCCATGCATGGTACTTGGTTGGAGGATGAATCTCTGGAAAGACTGTGTTCAAATTTTCTGGTTCTGTTGTTCTCCTTGTGTAGTTCCTGTCCTCTCCAGATCTTATTATTTCCCACTTCTTTCATAAGATTCCGTGCACTCTGCCCAACAGTTGGCCATAAGTTTCAGCATCTGCTTTGGTAGTCTGCAGGGCAGAGCCATTCAGAGGCCCTCTGTGGCAGGTTCATAACTTGTTTCCTGTTTTCTTCTTCTGATGTCCATGCTCTTTGCTTTTTGGGATGGGGATTGAGCATTTTAGACAGATTCCTCCCTCTTGATTAGTTTCTTTAGATGTACAGATTTTAGTACGTTTATCCTATGTTATATGTCTACATGAGTGAGTATATACCATGTGTTTCTTTCTGTTTCTAGAACAGCTCACTCAGGATGATCATATCCAGGTGCCACCATTTATCTGCAAATTTTATGAATTCCTTGTTTTTTAATGCTGAGTAATATTCCATTGTGTAGATGTGCCACACTTTCTGTATCCATTCGTCAGTTTAGGGGCATCTGGGTTGTTTCCAGCTTCTGGCTATTACAAATAAAGCTGCTACAAACATGGTTGAGCAAACGTCCTTATTGTGTACTTGAGTCTCTTTTGGATATATGCCTAGGAATGGTATGGCTGGATCTTGAGGAAATGTTATTCCTAGTTGTCTGAGAAAGCACCAGATTGATTTCCAGAGTGGTTGTAAAAGTTTACATTCCCAACATCAGTGGAGAAGTGTTCCTCTTTCTCCACAACCTCTCAAGCATGTATTATTTGAGTTTTTGATCTTGGCCATTCTGATGTGTGTAAGGTGAAATCTCAGGGTCATTTTTATTTCCATTTCCCTGATGGCTAATGAGGTTGAGACTTTCTTTTAGTGTTTCTCTGCCATTCCATATTCTTCTATTGAGAATTCCCTGTTTAGCTCTGTTCCCCATTTTTGAAGTGGATTACTTGGTTTGTTACTTTTCAGCTTCTTTAGTTCTTTGTATATACTGGATATTACCTCTCTGTCAAATAAAGGGTTGGTGAAGATTCTTTCCCAATCTATAGGCATTCGTTTTGTTTTGATGATGGTGTCCTTTGCTTTACAGAAGACTTTCAGTTTCATGAGGTCGCATTTATTAAATTTTGCTCTTAGAACCTGTTCTGTTGGTGTACTGTTCAGGAAGTTGTCTCCTGTACCAATGAGTTCTAGGGTCTTCCCAACTTTTTCTTCTAACCGATTTAATGTGTTTGGTTTTATTTTGAGGTCTTCGACCGAGTTGGACTTTAGTTTTGTGTAGGGTGATAAGTATGGATCTATTTGTAGTTTTCTTAGTGTAGATATCCAGTTATACCAGCACCATTTGTTTAAGATGCTATCTTTTTTATAATTAAATTCTTTGATTTTTATTAATTACAGTTTATTCACTTTGCATCCTCCTATAAGGCCCTCCCTCCTCCCATCCCGGTCCCATCCTCCCTCCCCCTTCTTCACGCATGCCCCTCCCCAAGTCACTGAGAAGGGAGATCCTCCTCTCCTTTCTTCTGATCTTACTCTATCAGATCACATCAGGAATGGCTGCATTGTCATCTTTTGTGGCCTGGTAAGACTGCTCTCCCCTCATGGGGAGGTGATCAAAGAACAGGCCAATCAGATTATGTCAGAGGTAGTCCCTCTTCCCATTACTATGTAACCAGCTTGTACACTAAGCTGCCATGGACAACATCTGTGCAGGGGTTCTAGGTTAGAAGATGCTATCTTTTCCATTGTATGGCTTTGGCATCTTTGTCAAAGATCAGGTATCCATAAGTGTGTGGGCTTATTTCTGGGTCTTCTGTTCCATTCCATTGATCCACCATTCTGTTTCTATGCCAGTACCATGCAGTTTTTATTACTGTTGCTCTATAATAAAACTTGATATCAGGGATGGAGATATCTGCAGAGATCTTTTATTGTAGAGGATTGTTTTAGCAATTCTGGGCTACTTGTTATTCCATAAGAAGCTGAGAATTTTTCTTCCGAGGTCTGTAAGAATTATGTTGGTAATTTGATGGCAATTGCATTGAATTTGTAGATTGCTTTTGGCAAGATGTCCATTTTTACTATGTTAATCCTGCCAAGCCATGAGCATGGGAGATCTTTCCATCTTCTGATACCTTCTTCTAATTCTTTCCTCAGAGACTTGAAATTTTTTTCATACAAGTCTTTGACTTCCTTGGTTATGGTTACACCAAGGTACTTTATGTCATTTGTGG